TGGGGGGGGGGTGTTGGTTTTATTACTTTGCACTAGTCATCTCCTGCTGTGGGCTGAGGCGCTGGGGGGGGACGGAAGAACCAACTGCCCCCGTGAGAGCGGCTGCCCCAACTTCCCCAGCCCACCGGTGCTGTGAAAGGGGAAGGTCCTGCCGTGACTGAGGGGCTGTGGGTCCTGCGTGACCCAGGCAGGAGTGTGGGATGCAGACATTGCTCCTCAGTGCTGTTTCCTTCCCCCCCCTGCCCCTGGCAACAGACTCAATGTTGCATCTTGTCAAATAAAGTTGGATGAATGAAAAAGGTGACGTGTGGTGTGACTGTGCTTCATGCAGCTGCCTTGGGGAGGGGGGGGTAAGGGTTTGGGGCCGAGGGAGAGGGAAGCTGCTGTCCCGTGATGGGGCTGGGGTGAAGGGGAGCGTGGGCACCCCCCCCCAGCTCCAGTTGTCCTGCTGGTGCAACTTGCCCACGGAAAGCACCAACCTCCCTGCTACGGCGTCCTGTCCCCTGGAGCCTCAGCCCGGGGGCTGTCCCTGGGCCAGCGTGGCGCAGGCTGTGGTGGCCCAAAGCAGAGCTCAGCCCCGCTCCTCCTGCCACTGATAAACCTGGTGGAGGCCATGGAGCTGCTCCTGGCTGCATAATAGCTGGAAATGAGCTGCAGATAAAGGCACACAATGCAGCTGGGGCTGTTGTTTAGTTTTCTCTGGCCAAGTCAGCCCAGGGCAGAGCCAGCTCTCGGCCGAGGGCCTCTTCAGCGAGGGTGGGACGGACTAAAAATACCCTGGAGAAAATGAAATATGGGTGATACAGGGTGATATCGCTGCCACCGGCTGCTGGCGGAAGGGAAGAGGGAGGCACCCGGCTGCGCTGCCCTTGGGGCAGAGCCTGGGCTGGCAGCCAAGCTCCCCCTTGGCTCCCCTCCCTGCTGGGGCTGAGGGGGGTGAAGTCCCCTGGGGTGGGGGCCTGGGGCGCACACTACCAGCACCCAGCCCTCCCCTGCACCCTCCACCAGGATGCTGGGGCAGATTCTCTTCGGAGGGACCCTGCTCCCACCACTGCCCAGTTGGGCCCCCCCGGGGCACCCCAGTGCAATGGGGGACCACAGCCCAGCGCTCAGCAGGCATCGGCAGAGCTGCAAAGCCCCGCAGCTTTCTGGGGGGAGCAGCCCTGCACGCTCAGCCGGGAGGAAACACCCGTGTGAAAGGTAACAGTGCAGCCGGGCCGGGTGTTTACCCGCCGGCCGCGCTCCCCCGCTCGCCTCCCCTCGCCCAGGCTGATATTTTTGTTGGCACCGGGGGAGCATCACGCTTTTCCGAACGGCCCTGCAAGGTGGAAAACAAGACGGCTGAGAATCCCCTTGCCTGGACACCGTGCCCGGCCGTAGGCGCTGCGCAAACACAGCTCCGCGTCCCGCTATTGTTCCCGTGTTGTGACAAGGTGACCCCCACGCCGCCGGGACCTGCCCACGGCACATGCCAACAACAACAGCGAGGGGCTCACCTGCACGGCGGGGCCGGTGTTGGTGGCAGCCCCCCCAGAAGGCAAATAAAAGTTTGAAGCTGATAAGGGCACGGGTTGGCCCGGCGAAGCCCTTTGGCACAGCCTGGGGACAGATAGCGGCCGGCAGGACACGCACGGCCTCTCTCACACCTCCGCGCTCCCTCCTGAGCAAACAGGCCCCTCCGGCCCCGTCTGGGAACGGCACTCGCTGCCCCAACCCCATCCTCTGACACAGCCCTGCGAGGTGAGGGGCTCCCCATGGGCACCCCTGAGGCCCAGCTCTGGGGCAGCGGCCAGCGAGCGCAGCCCCGAGGGCTGTACGGGCACCGGCACCCGCTGCAGCCCCCCCGCCGGGAGGGGGGAGAGCCCTGGGCACGGCCGTGGGGCTGTTCCCGTGGCCACTCACAGGCTGCGATGTCCACCCTCGGGTTTTTGGGGCAGGAAGCTTTTGTACCCCCCACCTAAGCACCCTGTGGGGTTTATCCCAACCCCGGGCTGACTGTACTTCTCAAGGAGCAGCCACAGCCCCCCCAAACTACACCCTGGCAGGGTGCAGGCAGCGCCGTGGGGCACCTGCAGCTCCCGGAGGAAAGCGAGTGCCCAGAGGGGATGTGATGTGGAGGAGGAAAAGGGAGAGAGGTGGACAGGCGGACACACACCCGACCTGACTGCCAACAGCCTGAGGCTGGGGGTGCACAGGCGTGGGGTGACCCCTCTCTGCTGCTCACCAGTGGTTCGGCAGGATGCTGGGGGCAGGGGTGGCCACCCCCTGAGTCAGGAAAGGCTTTGGGGTGGTTCTGCCAGTCCTGGGACCCCAATTCCTGCCGGGGACATTGGTCTAACACCAGCCGTGGGCCCCAGGAACCTGCGCCAGTGACGCTGCCCCATAGTCATGGGTTGGCAGGGAGGGTCCTGCCTCCCCCCAGTTAGGACCAGTCCGTGCTGGGGTCCCCCTGCACTATCCGGCCCTAGGCCGGCGGAGAGGAGCCACGGGGGCTGCAACAGCGAGGCTCTGCCCAAGGCGCTGGCTGAGCACCAAGGAGTTTATTTTTAACCTTTCCCAGCGTACAGAAAATAGCAAGTGTCTAAATCCAACCCGCTCGCAGGAAGAGCCACGGCGGGAGTGAAATCGCAGCTGAGAGGAGGGAGGGCAGAGGGCTGGGCAGGGGGATGCCAGCCAGCGCCACAGCATGGTCCCCCCATCCCGCCAGGGCCCCGTCCATGCCCAGGGCTCTGCCCACAGACTCCCAGCACCCCATTTCCCGCAGCCCCTCGGGGGAGCGGGCGCAGGCAGGAGCATCCTCCCGGGCCGGGCACAGACCCCCGACCCCCAGCCCCCCGTGCCCGCAGCACCCGCCATGGAGGCAACACCAAACCAGGTACAATCCTGCCCTTACCAGCACCATTGCCAACAGCGCACAATGAAGAAAAAGCAAACCCCAAGCTGCTCCCTTCCTCCCCCGGACCCGTCCTCGGCGCGGGGTTATATTTAGCCCTCCACGCGCGGGCAGGGCAGACAATGCGGCCCAGTGTGAGAACCGCGGGCGGGAGGAAACGCGCTCAATAGCCCCGACGACTTCCCGCATCCTGACATTGTCGCTCCCCTCCAGCCGCTTCCTCGCACGGAGGTAACGGCACCGCAGTGCCCAGCACCCCGTGCCCACCTCGGGATGGGTCCTGCCCCTGCCAGCGGCTCGGGGCATCGTTCCCGGTGCAGCACCAGGAGGGCAGAACACGCTGCCTGCACAGCTGGGGGCTTCTCCTGGCGTGGGGACATCGATGTGGTCTAAAAGCAAGAAACTGGGGTGGCCTTGGGGTGCTGGGGGTGGAGGGGTCAGCCCTGAGCTGTGGCTGTAGGAAGAGGCGATGCTGAGTGGGAAGGGACCGTGCCCGCTGCAGCTGTCCCCAGCCAGGGCTCGGGGCTGCGTCTCGGTGC